GTGATCAAAGCTATAAACGATGAAACGACGAGATTAATAGCTAAAGCACCGTCAGAGGCGGTTAAACTAGAACAGGTCCGGCAATCGCCGGCTAACCCCGTTAAAACAAAGGAGCAACAATTACCGCAAGATGCCATGGTTAGATATTTATATTACCCGGGCGAGCAAGAGGGTGGAACCTCGAGAAGAGCTACGGACCCCATTTGGAGCGTAGATATCTTCAACGTGGAAAAAAGAACGAGTCAATTTAAAATGATTAACGGTAAAAAAGTCACGACGGGTCCTACTCTTTATTACCTTCAAAACGGCCCAAAAAGGAGTTTTGTGAGACAAGAGCTTCAAGTCGTACCCGAGGACACGCAATTACCGCCTAATTAATATCTAGATTACGGTGACCATAAGCGAGCGTGTGTATTCCATCCGGTAAAATGTACCTCTTTGTGTCCAACGGACTCAACGATAGTTTATTTAGCGATACGGTGTAAAGGATGTGTTTTTCCGATCTAATGTGAGTCATGGTTTCATAATGAGATTTCTTGTTTAAGATGCAGTCGTAATAGTGTCGGTGTTTTAATTTCTTAGAGGTGACCGATTTTGTGACACCCTTGGCTTTTTTCAAGTTGATGTCAGCGGTTAAAATCGAGTACATTTTAGGTCTTATACAAACGACTTCTTTGATTATTTTACCTCCAAACTCGTCTTTAAATTTACCGATCACTTTCTTATTGGTTGGATCGTACAAAGGATGATCCGTCGGATAATTCGAAAGGTCGTAGTGTTGCCCGTTTTGCTGCATATCTTTGTATACGTCGTCAGTGTGCACTACGAGTACCAAACTGTCTGTATCTGTGTACATCAACCTGATTTTATCTTTGTACTTGTCTTTCAAATGGTTGTAATAAAAATCGTACATTAGCGTCTTTGAGAGATCCAAGATACTCACTCCGCAATAGATCGGTTTGTTTAACACGGTTTTAGTCTTGTACATTTCGACAAATGACAATTTGCATTCTGAAAATGACGTCGTCGTTTTGTAGCTCGGTTTCTGTATAATTTTTTCGTATTTATCTCGATCGTCATCGTTATTGTCTCTGAGCAGGTAACCGTCAATCCTGTTTCTGACGTTTTCCATCGTCTTACCAAACACGCTGTTATTCATCAGTTTAAAAAAGTCTTTCTCAAAATCAGAGGTCGCGTTTGTTCGGAGTTGCGTGTTTTTGTCTATGTAAGATGCCATCCAAGGCGCTTGTTTAAATTGCAGCACTCGATGTACCTTTTTAAGTTTCAAGCCGAGTTTGAGATACAACTGCAACGTGACGTAGTGCAAAACATATTTTTGTTTAGGATTAAGGGTACACGTTAATTTTTGCACGTTGCTACTAGGTTCGGTATCTAATAACTCGTTTTGATAATCAGACATCCATTCTTTTGGTATGACGATATTTTCTGGCGCTAGGGGATAATCGTTGTGCAGGTCGTGGAGATTGTCCGGGTAATCGAGGTCTACTTCAAAGCAGTAACCGGTGTTTGACGTTTTCCTGAGAGATAATATCTTGGGCTCAGTAAACGTTTTTGTACACGCCCATTTAAAGTCTTTGTACGGCAGGTATTGACTCATGGCCCAGCCGTACAGATTGTTTGCATCGAGGTAGGTGATGTAACTCGACGGCTCGTTTGGATTATGGTCGGGTAGGTATTTGTTATTGGCTTTGTGGTATCTCATACCACCCACGCTCGAGATACCACCTCTTTTTGCCTTTTCAAAAAATAAATGTTTATCTACGTCTTGCAATAGTTCGAGTTTAATTTCCGAGTGTTTTAACAAGGCATCCCACGACAATCCTGGTGCTGTATAGTAATTAGCCGGATCTAACGCGTAGTTTGTAATGCACGTTTTCCTAAAGTTTTTCAAATACGCATGCCAGTAATAACGTATCGGTAGTGACGTACAAATCGTGATATTCCCCCATGTTTTTAACTTTAAACTCGTTCCACGTCAGTTTAGCTCTGTCGTAGTCTTCTCGCGATATATTTTCGTCTTTTAGGCTGCTGTAAAATTGTTTGATGGGGGGTAGGCTGGTCTCTTGAAATCTATCAAACGAGTCCATGTATTCATACGGATAAACTCCTTTTTGTAACAACGAGTCGATGTTTTGACGATTAAAATGTTCTTTGAGTAGTTTAAACGACTCTCTCGGACAAGCTTTAGATAATCTATCCAACGAAGACGCCATAAAATTAAACGAGTCTATAAATCGCATATTTCCGATCGAAAATGAAATATACTTTTCTGAATTTCTAGCGATAACTTGTATTTCCTTTTCATCGTACTCTGAAATACTCTGCATGATCAAGTGAGCGTCGTAATTTTGCAGATTGTGAAAGACGACCGGTATGGGATTAAAACCTGGTTTAACTTGTAATTTTAGATTGCAGTAGGCGTGCGCGGCACCTCTATATCTACCCGTGACGTGGCAGTGATCTCTCACCTTTCTAAATTTGTTGATTTTCTTTTTGCAGTCGAGACATTTAGACTCGGTAAATCCATTTTTGTTTTCGTACTGATGTTCTTTTATTTGTTTTTCTGTTTTTGGTTTTTTGGGTTTCTGGCACTGACAGTTGCTCGAGTAATTGGGATAAATTGGTTTCTCGCAAATCCAACACGTGTTTGTTTGATCATGATGTTCCTTAGCTCGCTCGTTAAATTTCATGGGTTGGGTTTTTTTAAATATGCAATTTATGTCGCTTTGTATTTTTAACATTTTATGTACAAACGTTGATGCGGCATCTTTACCTCTATAAGTCTCTTGATACGCATTGGTGCCGTCGCATCTAACTACTACCAACGAGTAACCGCTAGCTTTGTGAATGTTTGTCTTTTGCGTGTTGTTTTTATCGTCCGAGTTTTTTTCTAATATTGATTCAAAGTCGGCGTAAACTACAAACGGTGCTTTTTGTTTAAACCTGTAGTTTTTAAATTCTAATATTGGCACATCGTTTTCGTCGACTATCCACTCGTTATTTACATATTTTCGCTTAGCGGTAGGAAATACAATCTTTGACGGATGTGTATCTATACCGTTACAATCGGTCATGTGTCTATCTAATTTTACTTGCGTTCTATAATGACACAGGCACCTTCGACAAAAATATTTCTTACTTTTATGTTTTGTAACGTTGTAAATCAATCTCGAAAAATTATTTATCCAGCAGTAGTGATGCTTGTCGCCCTCAGAAAACAAAAACAGATCGATAGGCCGTGACTCTGGTTTATAGTTTTTAGACACGTATAACGGATATATTTCCTCCTCATAACCGTATACGTTTATCGTTAAATTATTTTGTCTTTCTATCTTTGGTATCTGGTCGATCGGTGTTGGAAAGTCTACGCCTTTAAATTTGAGTTCGTCGTCTTTGGTGTATACAACAGGTTCTTCTTTATGAATTTTATATTTAGGATCGTTTTTTATGTTATTTTTTACTTTATCCGTATACAAGCCAAGAGCAGCTCTCAAACATCATCTCAAACACTCGTCGTCTTTGTTTTTAATGTTTATCATCGCCGTTTTCTGTTTGATACATTTTGGTAGGTCAATATAAGAACTACCTCTCACGGGGTTAAACCTGTTGATGTTGATATACAACGCCATTATCTTTTTTAAAACCCAACCCGATCCTTGATTCGTATACCTTTCATCCTTTTTAAATATCTGGTCGATGTCTTCTTTTAAAACCTGTTTTATTTGACTTTGATTTAAAACGACTCTCTGATCGGTAAAATGTGTAGCTTCGATCGTTTCGATCGTACCATCCGGTTTGGTTTTTTCGTATTTTATTTTGATTGTGAGCTCCATTTTTAAACCTCTCAGCTCTCTCAATTCTGACTTGATTTTATTTACAATTTGATCTTTGTGCGTATCAAAAACTTGACTAAATCGTCGTTAAAAAGTCTAGGAATCAGTTCCCAGTTTCTAAAGTTATTTCTAAATCTCCTCGTCGCTCTAAACTCAGCCTCTTGAAAATACTCGGGTTGCCTAGAGTTTTGAATTGCCGAGAGTAAATCTTTTTTTCAAAAATCGACCCTTATAACCCGACGGGTTATATTCTAGATCATAATCGTCTACAATCTGTTTGAGCTCATGTAGCGTCTTTTTCCTCAAGTTTCTAAATTGAGCTTCGTATTTTTTTATCCCGTTGATGTAGACTTTACGCGTAAGAGCAACATTTTGATCGTACGGTACATTATATCGCTGGACGTAATCGCGCAGCGTGGCTTTATTCCATCTAGAAAATCCCTTAACGATTGGCTTAATCATATCCATCATTTATATATATCAATATAATTTTTTTAAATTTTTTTAAGAGGTCAGACTTTTATATTTATAAGCAATCAGACTCACCGGCTGGTGAGAGAGATCTTCAAGACGAGAGATATTAGTCCCCGGTTTTGGCTTGGGGCTGAGACTGAGACATTGGGAGGGAGATCATTGGGAGGGGCGGGTGGGGTGGGGGCAGAGGGTGGGGGTAAAGTCTGGTACCTGCCCTTCTCCCCATTGGCCCTGTTCTACCCCCAGACCTATGGCAAAGTCTGGTATCCCCCACTTATACCTACTGCATCTGATTACATTTAATCCCACAAACCTATAAGCATGGGCGTCGCCAGGATTTTTTCTAGAGGGGGGCGAAACATTTTTTTTGCAAAAAAATGCTTGTTTTTCTCAACACATTCACGATTTATCAATTTTAGAGGGGGGCAGGGACATTTTGCCCCCCCCCCAACTCATTAAATTTACACCACTTTGTCTTCGCGCCTCTTTTTCTTTTTTCTTTTTTTTCTTTTTTTTTTTTTTTTTTTTTTTTTTTGCTTTTCCAGGGGGGGGGGCAAGTGCCCCCCCTTGCCCCCCCCCCCCCTCGCGACGCCCATGCCTATAAGATATTTCTGGGTAAGTGGATCCAGTATTGTATCTCATTATTACCGTCACTCATATCGTTTCTGACAGGTGTTTCAGAGACGCCAGGACGGCTCGGTGCGCTTCAACCGAACCTGGCAGGAGTACGCCGAGGGATTCGGGGATCTGACCGGAGAGTTTTGGTTGGGCAACCAGAAGCTGCGTAGTCTGACTCGTAACAGGGAGTGGGAGCTGGTCATCACACTGAGGGCATTAGATGGGGATGAGGCCCGTGTTCGGTATGAGGAATTCAAGATATACTCATCTGAGAGCAGTTACCGGCTTCTTGTCAGAGTCTTCATTGCGGAGAGTGGAGATGCAGGTACTTAATACCCCGAACTTTCAGTATCCTTCCCTTTAGGACCTCTCTCATGAGTCTTGCACTGTTTTCTACGATATCATTTTTGGTTTAACTGCGTTGTTCTCATCTAATTATCCTAAAATTAATAAACCGATAAAACCTGATTTCTGATCGTTTGAATATGCAGGCAATAATCTGGATCTACCCCTATTCCAAAAGAACGCCCTATTCCGCCGCTTGCCTATTAATCCAACCCACGAATTAACCTCCATGTGGATCTATGGAATAATGTCCAAAATCAGAAGCGTAACAAACATTTATCCCCGGAGGTTTTAATGGGAACAACTCGTAAAGAAGGTTGAATGCACCGTTGAAACTGTTGAATGGTTTGTTCGATATCCATGTAACATTTTATTAGTAATTACATCGTGAACAATGTGACGATGTCTAAAACAGAAAAGTCAAGACCATGCATACAAAACAATAAAAAGAAAGAAATCGGTTCAGATGTCATACATTATTTTTTTTATTAAAGTGGTCCCTTCGAAAAAAAAAGGCCATACATCATTCGTCATATTATATTACTGTAGTTATATATAAGGTCTGACCATCCTTCCTTTCTCATGCACACAGGTGATTCACTCGGGGGTAACAGTCTTACTGAATTCTCAACTCCAGATAAAGACCATGACTACACCTACGGGGAAAACTGCGCTGAGAAATTCCACGGAGGCTGGTGGTACTCCTACTGCGGTAGCCACAGCACGTACTTCAAGAGCAACCTGAACGGCTTGTACTACAACAACGCAACAGTCGATGATTACATGGGGATACAGTGGGTCACCTGGAAGGGTAAACAGGTCTCTCTAAAAGGGTGTGAAATGATGACACGACGCAGACCTTAACCGGTGATCGAAAGGATCCATATTGAAAGACACCAATGAAACTGGGGGGGGGGGGGGGGGGGGGGGGTAGAGGGGGCGCTAGACCTCAGTTTGGATTAATTTGGGCAACAAAGAAAGACGCCCTTGTCTAAAAAATGTACTGGGGTTTTTCGTTTAGGAAAATAGTTGAAAGGAGTGGGCTGGGAGGAGGCGGTATAAAAAAAATCACACACGATGGCGACATATAAGAAATATTACCAGTGACGGCAAAAAGGATGCTCATTGTTTCACTTGGGTTTTGAAATGAACTAAAATTAACAATGAACTATTCATGATATTTTTCAGTTTCATCCCCCCCAAAAAAATATCTTCTATAATTGCCTTTTTTTTTTCTCGAAATACAACAGATCCACTTCGAGATAGCGATAAAAATAAAAATCGTCCAAGAGACAATTAAATTTCGATTTAAATTTTTTGTGTGGAAATGTTTTAACCCATCCACCCACCCCGATTTTCGATCCTAAAATTTTGATTTTCCATTCAATAAAAAAACATAAGAAATGTCAAGTTCAATGACGGCGGACATTCGGCTGCGGTCCGTATACACGGCACCTGACTAACAACACGGCACACTGGCATTCCCATACTATGGAAATCCGCCTGGAAACACGTTGAACTTGTCCATTCTAAACGGTGATAATAAGTATCAACTGGCTTTAAATAAAAATGCCTATATTGTCTTGGCGTAAAGAGGTGTAATGACTCCCATTATTCATGAATTTTATTCAGAAATTTCAGGCGTTTTGGATAAAGAAATAATAAACTCTTATCTCGCGCTTTCCAGACGCGTCGGCGCTGCTATGTTCATTGCACACAGATGCCAATACCACGCAGGTTGCCTATGTAGTCTTGAACACAAGTCGGTTTATTTCATTGTCGCAATCGGTAACCGACGCTGGTGGCGTGTATTAAGACAAATGAACCTGGTATCCCGCTTATTTGCACGGCGCACTGATTTTACGCATGCTTTTAAGTCTATATTTCACTGGTCCCCATGCATATGGTGCTCTGATGGACGTATACACAATATACGGTACATTGTACACGGTACTACCAGATGCATACTGTTCCCGGCCGTACGGTACGGGCAAAAACGTTAACATATTACGAATCGGAACGCAGGGAGTTGAATTGGCAAGTCATAAGAGCTTTTGTTTTTCCATTTTCTATCATTTTAATTGAAAAAAAGAAGAAGTTAATTTCCATTTTTAATAATTTCAATCAATTAATTTGACCCATCCACCCACATTTTCGAAGAAAAATTTCGAAATTTAAAAACATCGAAAATGTGGAATGGCCCCCAATGTCTTTAAAAAATCAAACTATTTGCCGCCCAACAATACTTCCGTACTCCAAGGGTAGACTGGTTCCCAACCCTCTTTTAGAAACGATAATGTAAGGCTGTTAATTTGGACCAGGTACAAATATACTTGCAACTAGAACCCTTTTGCCGTAAATTCAAACATGCAAAGTGACAACGAAATTCATCTGTTTAAGAGCAAGGAGAGTTAATTTCATCTGAATGGGAAACAAACATTCTCACATCCAGCTTTTCTCAATCTAACCCAACTATGATCTAGAAATTAGTGAACGCAGATTAAGTCAGGTAACAGCCTAGGTTAACCATTAACCACGGGTTCACCAATGAACTTTTGTTTCCAAATTCTCTCTAACTAAACTATCGAATTCAAAATATTCTAGGGAGGACCTCGATCGTAACACGGTCACGGGGCGTATTGACATCGGCCGTTAGACCCTCCTCTACAGTGCTGGGTCATTGCCATTGGATATGTAAAGACTGGCAATCATATTACATTCGTATTGTTTTTACAGGCATAGCGTCTGGAGTATTTTGTGTAACCGATTAATTAACAAAATTTTCATCAACACGCATTCAGATTAGTGCAGATTATTTTCTCGATTTTGTCAATACTGGGGTTTTGTTTTTGGATACATAGTAGAGTTAAATTTGGTTTTTGGTTTTGCCATTCATGTTCGTTTTAGTCTTTCTATAGTGATGTGGATTAGTGGAGTATAGGTATTGCTATCTTTCTTTCACTATAAGTTGTTCTGAATGATATTCTTGTTCCATAATTATTGTCTTGGATTGAATAATTCATTTGCATCATTAATCTGTTATTAGTGCCTATGCCTGTCTCTTTAGTCATATAAAATCAAGGCAGCATTTTCTTTTATGTTTTTGCTCGTGATTGTATGTAAGGGTGCGGCTCATTTTTCGTTATTGCTGTTCATGATTATTTTGACAATTTCAAATTAAAAGTTAACAAAAGTTTGCAGAAATAGGGTTATCGTTATAACATGAAAACAAAATAATGTTGCTTTTGTTACCTTTATAGACGAATACAAATCAGAAAGCGCATACCACAAAAACAAATTTGAATGCATACATGTCAACAATGTAGAAATCGAAATCTTCATCAACCACTTTCTAGGTCTTTCGACGAATTTGAATGAAAGAAACGATTATTTGAGTTTTAATGAACTTATTTATCGAAAAACTGCTCAAATAACGAAATCGATATATGTTTTGGTTCGAATGCCCATAAGGGAACATGCGTTGTAAAACGAATTTGCATTGGCCTCGTGTTAAATGGATTTTTTTTTTTTTTAACTGGCCAGGAAAACCTATGTTTGCGTTATATTACTTGAAACGGTCATGTGTAGTGGCGTAAATTCCGGTCGGCGAGGGGGGGGGGGGCTGATCAAACCGCAAAATCATCAACCCGGCCGTGGAAATTCAAAAAGTGTGCGGGTGGGGGAGAAGAGGAGGGGGGGGGGGCTGGGCTGGACACCACATGACACTTAGTGGAGCTATTTATGATACAAGGGTACATGTAATGCAAATTTGCGAGCCTACGTCCGAAAACCATACACAAAAAACAGTGCGCTTAAAGCTTCTGTACTGTTCTTTGCCTTTTAAAACTATATCATAAGTGGGGTCAAATGGGATAGTTATAAATTACAAGATAACAACAGCATTGTAATTTCATTTCTCACGAAAATCCATGGGGAGGGGTGATTCCATGCCTTATCCCCTGGTTCAAAAATGGGGGAGGGTGTACCCTCCACATCGCCCACCCGGGATTTACGCCCATGGTTACGTGGTAAATATTAAAAGAGCATGAAGCTTTTTAACTTTGTATATATAATTCGTAAAATATCAATTGTTATTGTGGATAATTGTGTTTTTGGTGAAAGTATTGCATATAGATTCAATGTATTTGATGTATAATATCATGATATATCAATTACCAATATTAACCCTAAGAGAGCTGAAGGATTTTGTCCCCTGTTCTAATAGCATTACCTCACACGTATTCAGTATCAAACCATAATTGCTCGTGGCCTACCGTACGTTTTAGCACCATTTTTTTCTCCGAATTTTGAAATGTTCTTGCGTAGTGCCATATTTCGACCCAGCTTTGGCATAAAAGCAAAAAGGTCAAGCTTTTCTTTGACCGTGCTTTGGAAAAAAATCCTTTACCATAGACGAAAACACATTTAAATTATTTACATAACTAAGGTTCGATTGAACTAGAACATGGCAGACGTTCTAAATTTTAACCTTTATTTTCAAAGAAAATCTTCAATTTCCAAAATCTAAAATGTGAGAGGGAATCTTCACTCCGACGTCTGAGAACGGACAGCTCTATTATGGTTAAATTTGCGTATGGCTTTATCAGTATCAGTATATTTATTATATACATTTAATTAATTAATATTATATCAATTTATTGTTGTTCACATTGCAGCGTAGTTTAATTCGACTTCGTTTTGAAATTTTCACACTTACTGTGAATCATCGTACGGTATTGATTTAGCAGGAAAATTATGATATGTGATATAAAAGAAAGTATGTAAGCGGCTTGAAGAAAAAAAGTATATCGTTGTCAACTGTTCGCCTTTGTGTGATCTTTGATTGATGAGATCGATGAGCAGTTGACTGGCTAGAGGCCTGATCGCCTAATATACACCTCGCCTTCGGCTTGGGCTATTATTCGGCGGCAAGGCCCTTTTAAACCACAAGAATATAACTGCTCCATCACACTTTGGTTGGCGATAAGAACAATACACGGCTGCGGGACAAGAAGCCGGCGTTTTGAAACATCGCTCATTGTAAAAAC